TAGTGGAACGAGTGGATGCTCTGACTGTGTGTATGCTGCTGAATCGCCTCTTTTCTTTCCTTCAATAGAAAGTTTATCAGACAATGCAACAGCTTTTAGCAACAGAGCCAAGCAGCTTCGGAGACAGATGTGGTGGCGAGGTTGCAAGGTGAGCAAGAACTGGAAGAGGCAGGGGTGGGTTTATGGAGGGGCGGTTACCTGCCCTCCCCTGGGAGGGGATGAAGAAGCTCTGCTTTCTAGCTGAAAAGATGCTGGAAGGCAAAGGCCTCCTTTCCGGTAGAAGCAGCTACACGTGGCACCCCATGTAACATGCCTCTGTGCTCCCCTTGCAGATGAAGGCGATCATAGCACTGGTGGCGGTTATTCTCCTGCTCGTGATCATCGGTGAGTAGCTCCAGGACACCCCAGCCATGTCTGGCATTGAAATATTCGTGGCACTCCGCTCCGTGAGTGACACTGTGGTGCTGTTGTCCCTGGGGGAAAGCACCTGAGCCACTCCCGTTGGGCCCCACTCTGCCTTAAGCAGTCATAAATGGTGCCTGTAGAGCACTCCATGCTGCTCTTCTGCAAGGTTTAAACATGCATGCAGAAGAACAGGCTCAAATCAAGTCCTACTGACCGTTGCCAAAGAAAGCCAACATATCCCTGCCAACATTGTACTGATCCAGGGTTGGCACCGACTGATCCTGAGGCTGGTGGGAGTAGATGGAAGAGTTTGAGACCGGAGCAATGCCTTCCAAAGGCCTCTCCACATGTATCAACTATTTTGCAATGAGTCTGCTCCCAGCAAATGCTTTTCCCCAAAGCTGCCGGGCTGCTTAATTTTCAGCAAGTAGCTGTTGTGGCTTTGCCATTGGTCCCTTCCCCTGCCCTTCCTGGTCCCTCTGGAGCTCCCCAGAGCAGAGATGTTGCTGCTTTTCCTACTAAACAGGTAATAACAACCAGAGCATATTTCTTCCTGGCAGAAGTAGTAATTCAGCCCTCTGCCTGCAGAAAGACGTGCTCCAGGGATCCAAGCAGCCCAGCACAGGAGCAAAACTCTTCCATGCCACTGGGTCTGGAGGATTTTCCTCCCACTGGCCATGGCCGGGGACATCTCTGTAACAGTTCCCATTACTTTGGCAAAACCCTTGCGGCCCGTTGTCCTGCTGACACACAGCCTGCAGCGGGAGAGGCAGAGCTGGCAGCAGGGTGGGAGTGTTGGAGAGAGAGAGACTGATGGAAAATCCCATCTGGTTTAATTTTGGGAAGCTGGAAGGAGATGAAGGTGGCAGGAAGTGTTGTCTAGTGTGTGTGCAGGCAGCAGATTGCATTAGCTTGAGCTTGGAAACACACTTTCCCTTGCAGCTGCTTGGTGTTTATCACTACAGAAACAGGAGGGATATCTCTGGCAGGGATCGATGTTGCACGCAAAGGTGTGTGGCTGAGAGCTTGTTTCTTTGTGTTTTCCAGTACCCATAGTCCTGAAGTACCATACCTGACGGGGCAGCTGGAGGCTTCAGTGGAGCTGGCTCTGGGATAACCAAACTGCTGTGTAATTTAAGTGAGATATCTGTATATAGCTTTGAAGTTGTTTTTCTCCAAGGAGTGAGGAGGCGGCGGCAAGTAGCCAGTTCTAACAGAGCATTTTAAGAACTGCCAAATGACACCACCTCCCCCCCCTTTTTTTTTTTTTGGTCTAGTACCTGCTGCCGGA